CTCATCAGACCCAAAGAAATTATACCTTTATAACAAGATCTAAACAAAAATTTATTAATAAAATTTATAAGTCTTTTTGCCAAGTTCCCAATTTACAATTTATATCCAAGTTACTTTTACTAGTTAAGGTTATCATTTCATTATTGTTGTAGTTAATTATATGTTAATGAATAAACATTCAATGATAATCTAAACCAATCTACAAAATACTGAAATTCCTACTTAATAATCACCAAAAATTAACTAACTGACACAACAACTGGCAAGAGAGATAAGACTGTTTTGCCACTGGAAAGATACAGGTTGATAATGAAAGTTGATGATAAAAAGTTCATTCCATTATTTGACCCTTTGCTCATTTGGCTTTCTTTATTTTGAAATCTTGTATCAATAACCATGGCACAAATGTCCTTCTAAATGCTTTATTCATGTCAGACTTGTGTTGACATCAGCTTTATAACTGGAATTTCAGAAATCCTCTGAGAGTAAAACCATAGAAATGGAAATAAAAGAAAATAATGTTGCAGTACACTACAAAAGCAAGAAATAAAACTGCTACGAATCCTGATGGCTGGGTGAATTTGTAGAGAGTAAAAACAAGTGAGAATGAGATTGAAAGAGATTATTACATATGCACAACAATAACACCACCAACTTTCAAAACTGGATCATATTCTCTTTCTATATTCTCTTAAAATAAAACTTGTTACTCTATTGATCTATTTCAACACAGATATGTAAGTAATAATGCTACAGTAATTTGATAGTAATAATGTAAAAAAATTACAAAGAATTATAATGCATATAAGAATATATAAGATTATTTATAGCTCATTTTACAAATTAGAATAAATTATTGTGAGCGTTAAATGTCTCCATGGCTATGTGGTAAATCATATAAAACAGAAAAGTGGAGTCCTTGAAGCTCCTTGAACTTTTTTTTTTGGGGGGGGCAGACATTTCATTACCTAACTAGGTAACATTTTCAGTGCTAGAAGCCGAAACATCTGCAAGTAAACAACCAACCACAGAGATCACAAGGACTCCACAGTTCAGATTATAGTTGCTGAAAGAAACCTCTTCAGAATTTCACTTGAAATACACTATATTGCCAAAAGTATTCGCCCACAACTGAGTCTGATTATGTGGATGGGTGAGTGAATACTTTTGGTAATATAGTGTATATTAAATTCCAACTCTTCCTGACCATATTCTTAATAGAAATAAAAATAGAAAAAGGCAGCCATGAAGAAAAAACATTTGCACAGGAGGCTCAAGTCATATGCTCCATGTCCATCCATTCTCCATTCTGTATAATATATTTTCCATTCAACCTATAATGAAAAAGAAAATCTTATTTTAATCCCCCAATAAAAGATAAATCCCCAGTAATCTCTCTATCAGACTGAGCAGGGACCCATCTGAACATCTTTCAGGGCAGACCCAGACCTCCAAATATAATCTGATGTAGCCAAGATAGTTCCAAGTTTTATTTTGTCACTCTCATCCTAGGTACATTTTATCTGGTTCAAAAAAACCGTACATTTTAATTGTCAATAGAAGAATTTGCTATTCCTATAAAATACATTTTAGGAAAAGAATTATTTCATCTTTCTTCTTTGGTGTCCCTATATTACTCAAGTGCTCTGCATGATTTCCCCCCAAATCAGGTGAAAGTCATAGTTTTCTTGTGTTTTTATTTCATCTCCCAATGTAAGTATTGTCCCTGCCCCACTAATTTATCCAACCCGGTTCACAGTTGATCCTTCCAAGCAATAGCCAAGAAAATATTTTCCATGATTTCATCCTCTGTCCAAGATGGCACTGGGTCCAACAATGGATAAGCTGAAAGGGCCGTCCTGAGTGGAGCAGCCCGTGATGGATTGATCCAAAGGCTCACTTTGATTCAAGAGAAAAAGTTTACTACTAGAAGACTTCAAGGAATACATTTGTTTAAGGCTCTGTAATAAACTTTTAGGACAAATCCAGAAGGTAAAAAGGTATGAAAGAAAATAGGAGTTTAACAATAATGTCATTAAATTTAAAAAGAAAAATGGAATAGTGATCCAATAAATGTTACTGTTTTGATATAGGCATTTTATATACAGTACTTTATGGGGTGCTGGAAGGTTTTTTTAAAATCTGCAATGTTATCTGTTTACCTGAATTGTATTTTATATTTCAGACTTACAATTATTTGTTGCTGTTACTCTCCAATTAAAAAATTGAGATTGACTTGTCCTGGATCCTGGCTGAGCTACATCAAACATGTTTTGCTTTCAAAGAGAATGAATGAGAAATTCTTACTTTGTCTTGGTTTAATTAAAATGGCTTCCAGGCTTCTCCAATCTACTCAATATTTGGGGTTTGTAAGAGTCTGAAACAAAGTCTAAGTGTGGCTTATTGGAAGACCAAATTCCACAATCAAAGATGTTTGGACAGGAGCATGAACAGAATATGTCAAGCACTGAAGATATTATCTGTGATATTTGGTAAAGATGATAATGTACCGAATGGACTTAATAGCAATAGCAATAGCAGTTAGACTTATATACCGCTTCATAGGGCTTTCAGCCCTCTCCAAGCAGTTTACAGAGTCAGCATATATTGCCCCCACAGTCTGGGTCCTCATTTCACCCACCTTGGAAAGATGGAAGGCTGAGTCAACCTTGAGCCGGTGAGATTTGAACCGCTGAACTGCAGATAACAGTCAGCTGAAGTGGCCTGCAGTACTGCACCCTAACCACNGTCTCATATTGATGCAAGCTAGACTCTATGCCAGCTTAAGAAGGTTCTGCTTAGACTGATGTTCCAGCAGTGACTAGCCAGGTGCTCCCTCTGGTCTGCGAGATAGCTGCATCCTTAGTGGCCAATTCTTCTTCTGCTGTGTCCTCCCATTTCTGGGGCTCCTCTTCTTGCTCTTGCTGTGAGTGGGCAGATGAGGGCTGCTCTTCCTGTGTCTTGTCTTTGCCAGTCTAACAGACCCATTTTTCCCCTTTTATTTATTTTCTTCTTTGGGGAAAACTGATTGACCCAACCACTGAAAGAGAGAACAAAAAAGAAGAGTCTAGGTATCAAATGCCAGAATCCATTATACCTTCCATATGAGGAAAAAAACGCAACAACCCTCAAGTGTTCAGAGAAAATACTGCAGCAGTTCCATTACTTCATTCATCAGGGGATTTGTGGGGGGAATGAAAAAGTGAAAGTAAAGGTTTGATGGTTAAATGGTCCAGGCCCAAAATGGCCATGCAGCAACCATTAACCTGGAAGAGGGACCATCCCTGCCAGTACATTCAGTGGGTTCCTAAAGGGCAACAGTTGCCCAGATGGAAGAAAAACAGAAGAACTTCTGGAGCTGGAAGAAGCCAGAATGGACTTTTTTCCATCTTGAAGCAGCAAGATAGGAGTGTAGGATATTTTCATACTAGGAGCCCTGGTGGCACAATAGTTAGAACCAGTAATACAGGCTAATTCAGCCCACGGACAGGAGTTCGATCCTGACTGGCTCAAGGTTGACTCAGCTGTCCATCTTCTATGGTTGGTAAAATAAGGACCCAGATTGTTAGGAGAAATATGCTGTCATTTCAGAGTGCTATAAAACACTATGGAACATTAAATAAATCTAAATGCTATTGATGTAACTATCTCTTCTCTGTTGGGGTCCTAACACCTGACTAGGATATCTGGCCATTCAGATCAGCCCTTTCTGACATAAATATACTGTCACATTATCTGAATGACTGCTTAGCTATTGATGTTTCCTCCCAAATTTCATGGGTTCTCCCTTTGGATTTCCACTGACAGCAGACTGCTTATCAACATTAAATTCTTCCTCCAGGGGATCTAGACCTTACCCACTCTCATGGCCTACGGAAAAGCCGTTAAAACCTGGCTATTCCGGCAGGCTTGGGGCAGCTGACCTCATTACTGAGGTCCAGCCCCGATCAAATTGGGTGCATGGTTATGTTTTAAATTGTTTTTATTATTTTTTACTAATTATTTTCTTTTGTTCTGTAAGCCGCCCAGAGTCCTCCGGGATTGGGCGGCCTATAAAATAAATAAATAAATAAATAAATAAATAAATAAATAAATAAATAAATAAATAAATAAATAAATAAATAAATAAATAAATAAATAAATAAATAAAATTCTGGAATGTGCAGAAATAGAAAGGTTAACTCTAAAAATCAAAGTAAAAGAAGATACGAGATATTTTGTGAACTTTGGGAACTTTTCTACCAATGGTTAGCCGACAGATACAGAGGTTAGATGAGTGTATTTATTTGAAATGTGGATTACATGAGAAAAAAGAAATGATTAGTAAATATTTTGATGGTTATATACCGTATAAGACACTCCGAAGTATAAGACGCACCTAGCTTTTGGGGAGGAAAACAAGGGGGGGGGGAAATCTGCCTCTTCCTCCCAGCAATTTGCCTCCTTGCAACGAACAGCAAACAGTACAGACAATATACACTTTGTAGTTTCACATTTCAGACTATAGTTGTACAGATGCTGTTAAGATTGATGTGGCTTTCTGGAAGTATAGTTATTCTCTGCTATTTAAAAGAAGATACAATAGCACTGGGCCTCTTCAGATTAAGCATTTATTTTAAAGAGCTTCTTCATTTTGTTAAGCTGTCTAGAACAATAATAAAGCAGTCTTTAAAAAACAAGTCTAACAATTTGAGCATTCTATAGGCATTTATAGTTATTGACTTCCCTCCTTGCAGCAAACAGCAAACAGTCTGATTAGCACAAGAAAAAAAGAATCTGACTCCCAGCAATTTGCCAAGTGGAGCAAACAGCAAGTTTCACTTTCAATTTCTCCCATCATCAGCTGTTTCAGGCTGCAGGGACTATTATAGACTATTGAAGCCTCCACAAGCCCCACTTTGCTGCAAGGAGGTAAATTGCTGGGAGGCAGAGGCCAAAGGTTTGGGGCTGGTGGGTGGGTGGGTGGAGCTACATTTAGTGTATAAGACGCACCCAAAATTTTCACTCTTTTTTAGGGGGGAGACTCTGAAAAATAAGGGTAATTGATATTATAATGGAAGATAGGATAGGATACTAGAGCCAAGGTGGCACAGTGGTTAAATGCAGCACT